AGAGAGCTTTAAAACTCCTTTTCAGCACCCAATCCCTTTGTCTGAGTGAGGAGTAAGCTATAAGAGAAGCTTCAGGGTGGGACTTGGGGGAGGGTCACGGGCTGAAGCAGTGTAGGAAACCCTGTCAGGACTGGCGAAGCTGGGAGCATGCCAGGTGCCAAAGGCCAGAGTCACTGGAATGAAGGGTGCTGGCAGACCAAAGCAGGCAGTGGCCCCAGTTTGCCCACCCCAGACAAGAGGAATATGCCACAACTCGTATAAAATCATATTAGATTAGAAATGATTATTAAGGGTTTAAAGATGAGTAGTAAACAGGTGACCGTTCGTGGGGCTACGCACTTCCTGCCACTGACGTGAGGCTTCTCAAAGGCCAGGGTGCTCTCTAGGTGGAGAGTGAATTTAAGTATGAGAAGATTTAACCAGTTTTAACCTTTGAAGGAAATAACCCCAGAAATTCTTATTATCTTCAATATGAAAAAAAAATTTTTTTTTTAGAATACAAAGGCATTTTTGTATTTCTTTTGCTTCTAGCGGGCTTCAGGGGCACAGAAGCTATTTAAGTGTCCGTGAACCGATGTTCCAGTCCTTCAAGGGGGAATTTCTGGGCTTACGGCTGTCAAAGTGTGCTCTCAGCCTTTCTGCCCTCAGTGCCTCGTGGTCAGCTACGTTTCCCAGTGCTCTGACAAGGGCCAACGGCCTGCACGCTACAGAGAGGCTCGTCCTCAACTCAGCTGGAGGCATTGTGTGTGCAACACTCGCTTCCTCCACACAAAGTCACTAGCGAAGCCCCAGCCACTGCCAACCACACGAACACCCCAACATGCTTCCAGTGACTGGGCTCCCAAACTATTAAGTTGAACCATATGAAACTGCCATTTTTTAACCATTTCTGACTTATAATAATGGCGATTTCACATGGATGTATAGATTTAAAGACAAGCTGCAACTTCGTAAGAGTAAGAAAGCAGACGCTCCGTTATCTACCAGAGTCCCTCTAATTCCAGTTTTACCAGAAGGAGTTACAGGTGGAGTACTTGGTCTGTACTGAGGGGAAGTTTTAACTCAGAGAACTGCTCTCCTACTTATTGGCATATTCAGGCCGGGACATGGAAGAACAATGCCAGATCACCTTGCCCGTTCCTTCGTCCAATGTCATCCTTTTTAAAAACGGGACCTCCACTGGGGACACACTTTTCACCCCATTCATCCCTTAGTTTCAGTTCTTCAACCTGCTCATCTGTCAGTCCTTGCATATTAGGAGGGAGAAATACACCATGTTCTGCCAGTTCTTCCATCTCTGAAAAAGAAAAGAAGGTTCGACATCAAGACCACAATGGCACCCATGTTGTCCTTAGTGAGAAGCCCAGAGAGCTCGGAATCTGGCCCATGCTCTCAGGCGGCCAGCTGGAGACCGTGTTCTCTGTCCCGTGTTGTAATTCATGGCACTCAGAGGCACAACTCAGAATTCACCGAAAGGAAATATCCATGTGATACTACTATTCCCAAGAGCGATGCACATAGGTTTTTCTCTCACTTAGCTTAACCCTGGGGGGCGGGGGGGGGGGCAGGACAGTTAACAGCATCCCGTCCTCGTTGATGCTCTATCACCTGAGGCTGGCTCCTGCGCACAGCTATTACTTTACCTAAAACTTCATTTACAAACTAAAATAAAAAACGCGGTCCCTCAGTCAAGCTCAGGAGCCACACCGAGACTGGTGGATCTCCAGTGGGGAACATTTCCCTCCAGAGGAAAGTTCCACGGGGCGCCCCAAGTAGTGACAGGAGACACACACAGGAGCCCGGGAAAGAACACCGGGCTCTCCCCCTGTCTTCTCATCACTGTTTCTAAGAGTCCCTCAGAACACAAAGCGTCACTCGAGCAATCTGCTCCACCTCAAAAGTCTCCAAACATGGGCCCTCCCTGGTGGCGCAGCGGGTTAAAGCACTGCACTGAGAAGCTAAAACCACTTGCGCATGAGTTCGATTCCCGCCTGCCCCGGAGGTGACCACATGGTGTGGCAGACCTCTCCTGACCCGCCCGCTGCTCCCCTCAGCAGTGTACTTCGTCGAACTGCCTGTTCTGCTCCCCACTCTGTCTCTGGTGAAGCCTCTCACCTCCCCTGAGCCTCTGGCCTGTACCCCCGTTCTGTATGTACAAATAAATAAATCTTAAAAAGTCTCCAAACGTGAAAGTCACCTTTCATAACGCCCACAATTTCTGCTCTCACACCTGAATCCCACCATTCCTAGCCTCTTCGGCCCTCCGCACCCTGTTTCTGCTGGTTTGCTCACAGCGCCCCCTCCCGGCTCCTGGAGGGTCTGTGCGTGGCCGCCCCGCCGTCTCCCAGACTGGGGTTCCCGGCTCCGGCTCCATCTCTGCGATCCGCCTGGCGTCCCGCGTCAATCCCGGCTGATACAAATCTTCACAAACTTGGTTCTCGTCCCCAGCCTGCCCCAGAGAGCCGCGGGGTGCCGTCCCTCTGTCCCGGTTTCTTTTTCCCTAACCGAAACTAGGAGGTCCGGGGCCCTACTCCGCACAGGCTCCGGCGGCCCCGACCCCAGCCTGGCCGGGGCTCGTCTGGTCCAGGCACACACCCACAAACCCAGTCTGGCCAGGGCTGCCCCCCTAAGTAAGCCTGCCGTAGGCTGCTCCAAACCCAGTCTGGCCCGGGCTGCCCCCCTAAGTAAGCCTGGTCTGGGCTGACTCTACCCCCGGCCTGGTCCTAGCTCCACGCCAACCCCGGCCTGGCCCCGGCTCTCCGACCCTCGGCCTGGCCCGAGATCCCCACGCACGGCCCGCAGACCTGAGCAGACGCGCTGCACCTTGAGCCGCGCGTTGTAGACCCTGGCCACCTGCACCGTTAGCTCCTCCAGTTCGGTGCTCCCCGGAGTCTGCAGCAGGAACTGGCTCTCATCGCCCCGCTTCACGTGCAGCAGAACCATGGCGGCTCCCGAGGCCCCGCCGAGGCAGTGAGAGGGCCCCGGAGGCGCGGCCCGCACGGCCACCACCGACTAACCGCTACTTCGAGACCGGAACCCGAGGCTCGGGTGCCCACGGAGCGGGGAACCGTAGTACTCGCTCCCGGAAGTGACTGTTGCCAGCAGCGACAAGGAAACAGCGAGCCCCGCCACTCTGGATCAGAACCCGCGAACCACTGGCCACTCGTTCCAGGAAGCGGATGTTGCCAGGCAACCACGTACACAGTCCGAGCGGGCTCCAGCTGAACGGAAGTGATCGAGCCCTACTCCGGAAGTGACTGCTGTCCAGGCAACTCTCAAATACAAACCCAGGCACTGCGCCTGGGCCGGAGATTCTATAAGGGAAATACCAGTGGCGAGAGCGCCCCCACAGGCGCCCAACCCCTCAGCAGCATCCTCAAGGCCGCTTCAAATTTCACAATGTTTTCCACTTCCGGTAACGCCCCCCAGCCTCCGGTCAGGAGGTTTCGGCCGTTAAGCCTGGTCCTGAAATGAGCACCACGGATGGGCCAGGGCAAGTGATTCGGTAGGCACGTCTAGTGTTCAAGCAGGTGCTCCCAGAACGACCCGCCTTAAAATATGCTGGCAGCCACCGTTCAGCAAATTGGTTTTAAAATTTTTTTTGAAGTTATTTATTTAT